GTGGGGGGAAGGAGCAAGGAGTAAACAATATGTGGAGATGGAGCCCAAAGAGAGAGAGAAAAACAGTTGGACAAAGAAGTGAATAATGATCCGTGTAGGAGGGTGAATAGCTACTAATGGGGACTGTTAGTGGCTAACAATGGGTTGTGTGTAATAGCAGACTATGTGATAACAAGGCCTAGAGTGTGAGGGTTGGGGTAAGGACATGGAGAGCTCAAACCCTAAAGTTGTTGAATTCGATATTGAGTTCAGAAGGCTGCAGGGGCCCTGAGCAGAAAATGAGGTGCTGTTCTTCCAGCTTGCGCTGAGCTTCGCTGGAGCACTGCAACAAGCCTGAGACAGAGATGTTAACCAGGGAACATGATGGTGTGTTAAAGTTCTACGCAACTAGAAACTCTGTCTCTTTTGCAGACAGTGCGAAGCAGTCACCCAGTCTGTGCTTCATTTCCCTAATGAAGAGGCAACCATTGCTAGCGCTGAGTCCCTGTTTGAAAGGCTACAGTCCATGAGGGATAGCTACATTCACAGTGCTGTTAGGAGAAGGAGTTCCAGGATTTTGATGAATGAATGGCATTTTACTTCCAAGTGCAGTTAGAACGGGAACCTGCAGCTGGTGGTGCTCCTATGTATCTGCTGGCCTCGTCCTTCTAGATGGTGGAGGTCAGGGGTTTGCAATATAGAGACTTGGTGAGTTACTGCAGTGCATCTTGTAAATAATACACACTGCTGCTACTTCAGACCAGTGGCAGTAGGAGTGAATATAGTGGGTAAGATGACGATGAAGCCGCTGCTTTGTTCTGGATGGTAACGAGCTTCTTGAATGTTGTTGGACCTCTACGTGCCTTGGCAAAGTTATTCACTTCCCTTGTTTTTAGAATAATGGAAGTATTCTCAGAATATCAGAAAGCTTCCTATATGGTTGCTGTGTTACTATAATATCGCAGCCAGAAGAAATTATGCTCCTTGATAAACTACTTCTGGTGACTGCAGAGAATTCCTGCTCTAACCTGGCTCTGATACTGTGAGCATCTAGGGGCCTAAACACTATATACAACAGAGAGATCTGAGTATTCTTCACTTTCAGCGATTCCTAAACTTGCATGAAGAAAACAAATAGTCGCACAGTGATAATAATTCATGCTCGACTTCCACAAAGAATTGTTTATGTTTGGCTTGGCTGAGCCAGATCTCCAAACATCGGAATCGCTTGGATCGTAGGCAGGCTGGATTAATCAGTAGTGGGACATGTGCTACCCTCATGCTATTCCTTTGTCTAGTTCCAGCTTTTGAAATCTAATACAGGTGAAAAGGCAGAGGGGGGTGGGGGGCATTGTCAAGAGGCCAGTGGTTTATGTCTGGAGAAGGTTACAGTTTCTCCCTTGGGTGGGACTGAAAGCAGAGCTGTGTGTATGGAGAGATGCATCACAGGCCCAGATGCTGACTGAATCATTGGCTTTTTCCCAATTATAGCCTGCTTGTGGAAGAGTTGATCTTCAGTGTGTAATGGCACCAGTAGTAGCTCTTCTCTTGGCGTTTGCATACTCTGATCCCACAAGAACATGGTGGCCAATGGTAATATTGCTGGGCTAATAATCTGCTAAACAGGCTAATGCTATTAAGTGGCATGAGTTCAAATCCTGCCATGGTAGCTGGTTGGATTTAGAATCAGTTAATAAATCTGGACTGTTTAGAACAAAGCGATAACCTGAGTACTGGCAATCATGTAACCATTGGCATAAAAATCTATCTGGTTCACTACTGTCTGTCAGGGAAGGAAATCCACCATTTTTACTCATGTGATTCCAGATGTGGTTGGCTCATAACTGCCTTTTGAAATGGCCCTAGCAAGTCCCTCAGCTGTAAGGGAAATTAGAGATGGGCATCTATGCTAATATTGCAATGATTGGCCCCATTGAAGGATTAAAACACTGTGGCATGTACAGCATGAGACACAGGCAAGTTGATTTTACCAACTGTGCGCTGTACAGTGTGCACACAGTGCATGGGAATGAGATACATCCAGATGGGAAATGTGCAGAATGTTACTGTTAAATTCTGGGAATCTCGTCTGAAAGAGTAATTAAGTATGTCAATGACACTATGCTTGGAAGGAAAATAAGTTTTTAACAGGAGGTAAATCTACAAAGGATATGAACAGGTTAAGTGTGTGGCCAAAGAAATGGCAGATACAGTATGATGTTGGAACTTGGCAGAAAGAATAGACAAACAGTCTTCTGGTTAATTGGAGAGGAACTGCAGAACTTTGTAAAAGCAATCAGATCTAGGGTTCCTGGTATTTGAATCATAAAATGTTTATGTTCATGTTCAGCAAGTGACAAGGAAGCCAAATGAAATGCTGCAGCTGATTGTGGGGGTATGGTGGCTCAGTGGTTAACACTGGTGCCTCACACTGGCAGGGACACAGGTTTGATCCCAGCCTTGGGTGACTGTCTGTGTGGACCTTGCATGTTCTCCCCGTGTCTGCATGGGTTTCTGTCAGGTGCTCCAGTTTCCTCCAATAATCCAAAGCTGTGCTGGTTAGGTGGATTGGCAGTGCTTCAATTACCCATAGAGCCCAGGAATGTGCAGGGTAGACGGATTAGCCATGGGAATTACAGGGATAGAGTAGGGGTGTGTGTCTGGGTGGGATGCTCTTCAGAAGGGTGATGGGGATTAGATGGACTCAATGGCCTGTATCCACATTGGAGGGATTCTATGAAAAGTAGGGATCTTTTGCCACAGTTGTACACAGAGACCACTTTTGCACTATGTGTACGAGTTTGAAATGAAGATATCATTGTGAGAAAATGGTTCAGAGATGGTTTACATTTTTCACTCCGAGGATAAAAAGGAGTAATCTTAAATCGAAAGATTCAACAGGCTGGGACCCATTGGAGTTCAGAAGAATGGGAGCTGATCTTATTGAAATATGTGAGGTCCTGATGGGACTCAACAGGTTAGATACCAGGGAGGATGTGTCTTCTTGTGGCAGAGACTAGAATTAGGGAACACAGTTTCAGACTGAGATGAGGAGAATTTCTTTTTCTCACAGGTGATCATTCTTTTTCACAAAGCGTGGTAGATGTGGTGTCATTGAATTTATTAAAAGTTCACTTAGATTTTGATGAGCAACAGTTGAGAGTGGATATGGGGGATAGATGGAAAAGTGGAGCTGAGACCGTGAACAGATCTGACGTAGTCTTATTGAATGGTAGAGTAGGCTCAAAGGGCTGAATGGCCGACTCCTGTTCCCAGGACCTATGTTGCCCTCTTTACATTTCCCTTCCCCTTTTAAGGGACATCTTAAGACATATCTTTTCGCCAACCAATCCTTGATACTGCCCATTGTCAATCGCGGTCTGATAACTGCTCCTGCGAAACACCTTGGGAGTCATCCACTGCCTTAACGGTGCTACATAAATGCAAGTTGTCATTATTGTACTCGCATTTTCTATCAAATGTCTTTTTAATATCATTAGATCTCCTACTCGAACTCTATCAGGAGCGTCCCTGTATGGGAGAAGGGAACCTCTTTAATATTTTAGAAAGAGTTACAGAGCAAGTGGAGATAGTCTGCTGGGAGTTAAGATACAATTCCTCACAAGGTGTCACTTGATGGAGAGTATATTAGATTCTGGTACGGTTATCTGAAGTGCAGTTTTGCAATCTGAGTATCTAACTGCAGGGATTTTAGACAGGAAACGTTTGGTGCTGATACCTGAAGGGGGGAGAGATAATAATGCGGTCTATAACCTGGACCTGCTGACTCTGCCATACCATACTGCAAATATCTCAGGCTATAAACCAGGATAATTGATGAGCATTAGTCTCGACTTGACATGAATCTTTTCATCATGGTTGTATCTAATGGCGAGGACCTTATGTATTGTACTCCCCATACAACTGTTAACTTTGAGTGACCTAAAGGAGGAAACAGTAAGTTCAGATACAAGGGGAAGGGTGTAGTCAGACGGAACGCTATTTTACCCCTCAGACATGTCTGGACCCAGGGTGTGATCTTCCCCCTGAAGACCAGCTCTGATGAGATCAGCTAGCTCGACTCCAATGCTTAGATGCCCATATCCCATTTCTTGTTCAGAGATCTTACTTAGATATGCAGATTTACTGAACACCACATTTTACTTCTAACCCTGTTGTATCTGCTGTTTGAGTGCAAGCTAAAACTGGGTTTCAAAGGTCGAGATTGCTGGGGAAACTCAGCAGATCGGGCAGCGTCTGTGGAGGGGCAAGCAGAGTTAATGATTTGTTCTGAGGAAGGGTCACCGGACCCGAAATGTTAGCTCTGTCTTTTCCTTCACAGATGTGCCAGACCTGCTGAGATTTTCCAGCAACTTCTGTTTCTGTTCCTGATTTACAGCAACCGCAGTTCTTTCAGTTTTGTTGTTGTTGTTGTTCATGATTTTTCATGTGTGGAGCTGAAGGAACACAGCAGGCCAGGCAGCATCAGAGGAGCAGGAAAGCTGACGTTTCGGGTCGGGACGCTTCTTCAGAAATGGGGGAGGAGGAAGGGAGCTCAGAAATAAGTAGAGAGAGGAAGGCTGGGGCTGGGGAAAGTAAGTGGGTAGGTCACCTATCACGATCCCACCTACCTACCCCAGCCCCACCCCTCCTCTCTATTTATTTCCCAGCTCCTTTCCCCCTCCCCCATTTCTGAAGAAGGGTCCCGACCCGAAACGTCAGCTTTCCTGCTCCTCTGATGCTGTCTGGCCTGCTGTGTTCATCCAGATCCACGCTGTGTTATCTCAGACTCCAGCATCTGCAGTTCTTGCTATCTCTGGGTCCAGCAAACTGAGCTAACCAACCCTCACCTTGATGCTAACACTGGTATGTTCAATATAAACTTCAGGGACGGTTAAACACACAGCAAAGGCAAGAGGCAAGAGAAAGCATTTATACTTGCTTTGAATTATTGTTCTTCTGCTGGGCACCATTAACCAGGTCAGAAATGATTGCACTAACTGTTTGTGTTTTCTTTCAAGCATGCTTTCAGGATGGAGGTGAACAGCATACAAAATGGCCGTGGCAAATGTCCACATGACCCAAACCGACCTTTTGCAAGCACTTTCATTGGTAAGCAATTTTCAATTTCCAAAATAAGCAACTTTAACAGGATCCTGATATTGAGAGCAGGTCTCTGAGTATGAATGTACAACATGTCTGGCAGATTTAAATGAGCCATGCTATAAGATCAACTGATTATCATAAATCATTGTTGATGGTGCTTTTATTGTGCTGAAAATTGGTCAAACCACAGATTCAGATCATAGCTACATTAACGGGCATAACCATCTCCCCGAACAAGAGAGGATCCAACCATCTCCCTTTGATTTTGTCGTCACTGAGTCCTTGACTATCAACATGCTAACACTACCATTGATTAGGATTGACCAACCATTAGGTTGACTCTGAAGGAGCAATTTGTTCCACTCACTCCTCCTCAACAGGATAGCTGCTACCATTTTCCAACCCTTTCCAGTCTGAAGAAGTGAAGAAGTGTCATATCCGACTCAAAACATTAGCACCATTTCTCTCTCTGCCAAACCCGCAGAGTTTCTCAAGCGATTTCTGTTTTTAGATTCAGCAACGTCTCTCTTCAGTAATGTGATAAGTGTCCTTTTTTTTAAAGAGGCTGCAATAATCAGAATTCCCTTTTAAGGGAATCCTAAGATTTCCTCTTTAGCAGTTCTTCTTTGAATGAGATTATACGTTAATCTCATATAATTCCCCCATTACATATCATCCTGTCTAAGATCGGCAATGTTCTGTGCTCTTGTGCTGATCTGTCTCTTCCTAACTCATGGTTTGACAAACAGTTCACAGTTTTAATCCTCTCAATGAATCACTCTTTGAAAGACCTGCACCAGGGAGATATTAAAGCAATTTAAACAGTTGAACAGAGAGACCTTGCTTCTCACTAATTTAATGGTTGTTCCTAAAGTCAAACCATTATGTCCAATGCGGCCCTAAATAAACTAAACAAAATGACCCAAACGGTTTGTCAGAAACACTTTTTTCTCTCAGTCCCACATTGCGCTGGAGGAGTGCAGTACATCACCAGATTATGAGCAGTGAGTTAATATATTCCATGTGTCTGATGTGGTGACCCTAGATACAAGTAAAGTACAGTCATGTCTCATTAGCGCTGTACTCCTGAATGAAAGAGTAGTGTGACAACTTGAGGAGACAGCAACCTGCCCTAATATTACCACAATCACAACGATTGCAGAGAGACCTCATCGCGCTTTTCTCATTCAGGCATGACATGGATTTGACTCCTCCCTGCTTCCCCCTGACCTTTGACCCCTCTCTGAACCCTCCCTCCCCCTAAAATCCTTGGGAGTCTCAAAGCCCATGGTATTTTTATCGATGCTTCCATTCCCTCAGCTTGGAATTATGAAGGAACCCTGGCTTCACACGTGAGTCTCACAAAGGGTGAGGCCTTTCTGAATTGAGGGTCAAAAAAGGACGTCATCAAATGAACAGAATGCAGCAGGGTCTGTGGGAGGTTTTGTCACTCCTGTAACTTATGTAGAGCTACTAGTCTTCACTTTCCAAGATTCCCAACCTACAGAAGATCTGCAGCACAGAACTTCCTTGTAAAAATCCATTTGTGTTAAGAAATTAGTTTTTCTTGCAGTGCAATTTTTTAAGTTAATTCTTTGGCTAGGCCAGCATTTATTGCCCATCCCTAAATGCCCAACAGCAGTTAAGAGTCAACCACATTGCTGTCCAAAGTTGTGCAAGTTAAGTGGATTGGCCATGCTAATGTTCTCTCTAGCGTCCAGGGATCAGGGAATCATAGAATCCCTACAGCATGGAAACAGGCCATTCATGCCATCGAGTCCACACTGACCCTCCAAACAGCAGCCCACCCCCTATCCTGTTCCTGTAACCCTGCACTTCCTATGGCTAACCCATTTCGCTTTGCGCATCCCTGGACACTATGGGGCAATTTAGCATGGCCAATCCACCTAACCTGCACATCTTTGGACAGTGGGAGGAAACCCATGCAGACATGGGGAGAATGTGCAAACCCTACACAGACAGTCACCCAAGGCTGGAATTGAACCCAGATCCCTGGCACTGTGAGGTAGCAGTGCTAATGACCAGTCTACCCAACCTGCACATCTTTGGACTGTGGGAGATAAACCAGAGCACCCAGAGGAAACCTGACACACACACACAGGGTGAACGTGCAAACTCCACACAGACAGTTTCCCAAGGCTGGAATCAAACCTGCATCCCTGGCACTGTGAGGCAGCAGTGCTAACCACTGAGTCACCATAGCACCCAGAAGGAGCCAGAAATATAAAAGCAGTCGTTCCCTCAGACCCAGTCGGAACACCCTCCATTATGTCTGAGATTAGTGTGCTTAGAGCACATTTGGAAGGGGCCATCATATTTTCTGACAATATTACAGCATGGAAACAGACCCTTAGCTCTAACTCATCCGTGAGGAATGGGAGAATGTTTGTTTGGAAAGTGGTTCCATCACCCACTGACTTACAGAGAGCAAATTACACTCATCATTATATTTGTTAGGTTAATTAAAAGAACGAAGGCATTGGAAAGTTGGGTATACAAGCCCCCGATCCATGCTTCCTGTTCATGTTGTTTCCACTGAGCATCCCCAAGCTCGCTCTGTGAGTTTCTGAGTGCTGTACAACAACAACAATTTGCAGTTATGTGGCTGCAAGCAGACAGTAAGAAACAAGGTTTGACACTGAGCGCATAAGTGCATATTGTTGCAGCTTCTCAAGTAGATTGTATGGAACGACATAGAAGCAGAGAGTGAAGCAGAGATATCCAGGGAAGGAATTCTGGAGCTTATGGTCTTGATTGGTAAAAGTAGGATTATCATCTAAAACCATGGATGACCAAGAATTGGAGGAGTGTGAATATTTTGAGCAATTGTGTGGTTGTAGTAAACAGCAGAGAAAGGGGGAGGCAAGGAAAGATTTGAAAACAAGGGTGAGAATTTTTACAAACACTAACAGAAATTGCTAGAAATGCTGAGCAGGTCTGGCAGCATCTGTGGAGAGAAATCACAATTAACGTTTTGGATCGAGTGACCCTTCTTTAGACTGAGCCCAAAACGTTAACTCTGGTTTCTCTCCACAGATGCTGCCAGACCTACTGAGCCTTTCCAGCAATTTCTGTTTTTGTTTCTGATTTCCAGCAATCGCAGTTCTTTCGGTTTTTATTTAGTGAATATTTTTAAATTACGTTTCTTAATTGGAGATCCACGTAGTCCAGCAAACACAGGAGTGATGATGTAAAGGAAACAAAACAGGACAATAGTGGCTTAAATGAAGAGGGATTGGGCAGAGGCTAAGAAGTCTGCCTGCTGTGCGGTCAGCTGTTTTGCTACGTAGTCACATCATTTGACTCTCTATACCTCTCCATTCCACAGGTGAGGAGCTGTATTCTGGACTGACGGCCGATTTCTTAGGAAGGGACCCCGTCATCTTCCGCAGCCTGGGGTCTCGATCCACCATGAGAACGGAACTCGACCAGCGATTGTTGCAAGGTAACCAGCGAACAGCCATCAGTGGCCAGTTCAACGATAAACGAAGTGCATATTTTCAAAGCTTTTCATCTTGCACTTATCGGGACAAATGCAAGAATGCCAAATTTCACAGGGAGCAACAATTTAAACCTTATTCAAAAAAAGGTGCTGATTAGTTGCAAGTCGAATCAGATTGGTTGAAATATTTCCATGAGATGGTGTATATATTTTGTGTCAAACAACTCATCGTTTTGCCATTGACAATAGGAAGAGTACTGACTGTACTCAATCAGTCCATGCCTGAGAAACTGACAATATAACAATATCAGATGTGATTCTGCAATTGAACAACCACAAGTGCAACAAAAATTGCTCAACAACCAATATAAGATTATCAGAGACAGTAGGGACTGCTGATGCTGGAGTCAGAGATAACACAGTGTGGAGCTGGAGGAACACAGCAGGTCAGGCAGCAGTAGAGGAGCAGGAAAGTTGATGTTTCAGATCGGGACCCTTCTTCAGAAATGCCTGAAATTTCTGAAGAAGGAGCCCGACCTGAAACGTCAGCGTTCCTGCTCCTCTGATGCTATAAGTTTATCAGTTGGGCTTATAACATGGCTCACTTAATTTTTGATAGAAGCCAGATACTTTTATACTCAGAAATCCGTACTTTGCAGAAAAAAAAATTTCCAGGCCCTTTTTTGAAATAAACAAAAGCGTGAGGGACCAGAGTTGCCCTGAGGCATGCCCATGGAAATGTTTCAACCAATCAGATTTGACTTGCAACCAATCAGCACTCTTTTTGAAAGAGTTGTTGCTCACTTTGGAATTTGGCTTTCTTGCATTTGTCCTGATGAGTGCAAGATGAAAAGCTTTGAAAACATGTCTTTTTTCAATCAATATAAGTAAAATATGTTGTTGAGTAGGATGTATTATGTATTGCATAATTAAACAGAGTGGTACATATGGAGTGGTAAAGCTCGCTACCGTGTGAAATAATCGAGGTGAACGAAATAGCAGCCTTCAAGGGGAAGCTGGGTAAACACACAAGGATATGACATGCAAAGTTATTCCACTCAAGTGCCCATCCAATTTCCTTTGAAGTCATTCACCATCTCAGCCTCAACCAGCCTCAAAGGCAGTGAGTTCAGATCGCGGGCACGTGCTGTGTGTAAGGGTCCTTCCTCCAATCCCTTCGACATCTCCTGTCACCATCTCAACGTTTTCTTTCCTCTTCCTGCAGACCCCAAGTTTGTGGCCGCTCACCTCATTCCAGACAACGTTGACCGTGACAACGACAAGGTTTACTTCTTCTTCACCGAGAAGGCCATGGAGTCAGAGGGCAAAGTCCGAGCAATCTACAGCCGCATCGGACGCATTTGCGCTGTGAGTCAGAGATTCACAGGATGTGGGGATCGGGCAGAAAAGTAGGGTAGATATAGACAATCAGCCCTGACTTGACTGAACGGCTTGAGGAGCTGTGTGGCCTATTTGGTCTCCTACTGCTTCTAAAATCAGATTTGCTCTTTGTTGAGATGTAGGGATTTATACTGTGAAGAATGTCAATGGAAATGAATTCATAGAATCCCTACAGTGTGGGAACAGGCCCTTTGGCCCAACAAGTCCACACCAACCCTTGGAGCATCCCACCCAGACCCATCTCCCTATAACCCACCTAATCTACTCATCCCTGAACACTACGGGCAATTTAGCATGGCCAATCCACCTAGCCTGCACATCTTTGGACTGTGGGAGGAAACTGGAGCACCCGGAGGAAACCCACGCAGACACAGGGAGAATGTGCAAACTCTACACAGACTGTCACCCGAGGCTGGAATTGAACTCAGGCCCCTGATGCCGTGAGGCAACAGTGCTAACCACTGAGCCACCGTGCCACCCTAAAACACCAGGCAGAGGGTAAAACAACAGCTACCTGCATTTCTATAGCACCTTTGTAGAATCCCCTACAGCATGGAAGTGGGCTGTTCGGCCCATCAAGTCCACACTGACCCTCCGAAGCACATCCCATCCAAAGACAACTGATGGAACACTGAAAAAAAGAACTGTGGATGCTAGAAATCAGACACGAAAACAGAAATTGCTTGAAAAACTCAATGAGTCTGACAGTATCTGCGGAGGGGAATCAGAATTAATGTTCTGGGTCCAGTGACCCTTCTTCAGAATTGATTGTAGCTTGGAAAATGTTCGTATATATGCTGGAAATGGGGTGGGGGTAAGGGGAGGAGGAAACTATAGGTGGACATGGAGCCCAGAAAGACAGACAGAGAACAGTTGGGCAGTCAAAGGAACGGGTAAAGATCTGCATAGGAGAATGAATAGCTGCTAGTGGAGACCTTTACAGGTTGATGATGGGTTGTTTATGGGAGCAGCCCTTGTGATGACAAGGCTTGGTGTGTGGAGGTTGGGGTAAGGACATGGGAGAAGGTGCTCAAGCCTAAAATTATCGAACTCGATATTGAGTCCTGATGGCTGTAGAGTTCTGAAGTGGAAAATGAGATGTTGTCCTTCCAGCTTGCATTGAGCTTCGCTGGAACACTGCAGCAAGACTGAGACAGAGATATTGGCCAGGGAACAGGGTGGTATGTTGAAGTGGCAAGCAACTGGAAGCTCAGGGTCATTTCTGCGGACAGAACATAGGTGTTCTGTAAAGCAGTCTCCCAGTCTGCATTTCATCTCCCCAGTGTAGAGGAGGCCACATTGTGAGCAGCAAATACAATCGACTAGATTGTATGATGTGCAGGTAAAGTGCTGTTTCACCTGGAAGATGTGCCTGAGGAGGATGTCTGTGGATACTGAGGAGGGAGGAAGTAAACAGGCAGCTGTTACATCTTCTGTGATGGCAGGGAAGCTACCATGAGGCTGTTGGGAGGGGGTTGTGGGAGTGAAGGAGGAATGGACTGGAGTGTCCCAGAGGGACCAGTCTGTGTGGAATGCTGACAAGGAAGGGGAGGGGAATCTGTGTCTGGTGGTGGCATGCCTCTAGCGGTGGTAGAAATGGTGGCTTATGATCCTCTGGGTGTAGATGCTGGTGGGAAGGTAGATAAGGACAAGTGGGACCCTATTGCTGATGTGGGAGAGACAGGTTGGACACCACTGAGTACCCTGTCAATCGCAGTGCTAAGGAATCCTTGGTTGAGGAAGAAGGTGGACATTTCAGAGGTCCCTTTGTCGAGGCTGGCATCATCAGAACAGAAGCGACGGAGATGGAGGAACTGGGAGAATGGAGTAGAGTCTTTACCGGAAGCAGTTGTGAGGATGTTTAGTCAGGGTAACTGTGGGAGTCGAGCGGGTTTGTCGTACCAGTACTTCAATCTATTCCACTGCATTCACTTCTTACAACGTGATCTCCTCAACATTGGGGAAACGAAGCACACACTGGGCGACCACTTTGCAGAACACCTATGTTCTGTCCACACCTGACCCTGAGCTTCCAATTGTCCACCACTTCAACACACCACCCTGTTCTCCAGCCAATATCCCTGTCTAAGGCTTGCCACAGTGCTCCAGTGAAGGTCAGTGCAGGCTGGAAGAACAACATCTCATTTTCCACTTGGGGACCCTGCAGTCTTCAGGACTCAATATCAAGTTCAATAATTTTAGAGCCTGAGCACCTTGTTCAATGTCCTTAGCCCAACACCTACACACCAGGCCTTGTCATCACATGATCTACTACCACACACAACCCAATGTCATCCACCAGTAGTCCCCATTAGCGACTACTTATTCTCCCAGGCTGACCATTATTCACTCCTTTGTCTGTCCATCTGTTTTTCTCTCTCTCTCTGGTCTCCACCTTCACCTATTGTTTACTCCTCCCCCCTGGCTCCAACTCACCTTCAGCTTTTACACCAACCTTTTCTTAGCTACGATCAGTTCTGAAGAAGGGTCACTGGACCTGAAACATTACCTCTGTTTCTCTCTCCACCAGACCTGCCGAATTTCTCCAGCAATTTCTGTTTACGTTCCAGCTGACAGAACCCGAGATCTCACCCTGCCACGTTGGCTCTCGGAGTACGTCTCAGTTGTTCGGAGAGGGGTAAAGGCCTGCTAGATAGTGTGCAATGCAGTAGGATCCATCAGTCTATCCTGAACAGTATTGTGAGGTTATAATCCAGCTCTGCTTGATTTACCCTGGAGTGCCTCATGGGAACAACGAGCAGAGCCGATATCTACCTTCACTTTCACCTCCACTCCTACACCCTGACAATGTCTATCTCCCCCCTTCCCTCGGAGCCATCTCTCCCATTAATGTCTACCAGATGTTTGCCTGTTGCAGTTTTATTTCAGCTTCCTGGGGTCTAGGACTGAAGATCCCAGCAAATGTTGTCATAGCTGGAAACGTGTTTCCAAGAGTCTGACAGATAGTAAAACCTGAACGTGTGAGTTGAAGTTTTGAACCCAGGAAATAGTTTAATACATGCCAGGAAGCCTTTTATGATTTAGACAGCAGTTGCTTTATTTTTAATGTTTTTCTTTCAAACCATGTTTTTTTTAACACTTTTTACGGGCCGAGTCTTTTATTGGGATTTTTCAGGAAGACCATGACTGCAGAGTCCTGAAACGAGCTCTCAAAGAACATTTTTTTAAAAAATAGAGCACGTTTTACACTCCAAGGAGGATCGTGCAGTAGAGTCATTTCTAGAACCTTCTCTGAGGCCTCACGATACCTTTAAGACCTATTTTTTGTTTATGTTTTGGATTTGCAGAAGATTTATCAAGTTTTCTTTAACAGTTGAGCCATAATCTATGCTTGTGATATATTTTATTAAATTCTTATCTCACTCCTGGGACTAAAAATGCCACAAACTGCATAAAATGGTGTAACATTGCTTTGCTTATTCCCCTGGATTTATACCCTGACCTGTGGAGATTAACAGCCATAGGGTAAAAAATAAGCATAGGCTCCATCGAGCTGATGGAGGGAGAGAGGGCGGGAAAACTGGTGTTCATCAATAGATGAGAGCTGTTTCAACTTTTTCTCAACTTAACAAGAGTTTTGTTGGTGAGCAAAAGACTCTAGTCATGTGGTCCCCTCTGCATTGGGGAAACGGAGCATAGACTGGGTGACTGCTTCGCGGAACATCTACATTCTGTCCGCAAAAAGACCCTGAGCTTCCCGTTGCCTGCCACTTCAACACACTGCCATGTTCCCTGGCCAACATCTCTGTTTCAGGCTTGCTGTAGTGCTACCCTGTGTCTCCTATGACTAAGTCAGTTCCATATGCGCCTTGCCCGCTCACCCCTGATACCATCTGACTTTACCTTTTGTACCAGGCTGCCTATGAGGCAACAAGGTGCAGGGCTGGATGAACACATTCGATTGAAATCATTCGATTTTAACCCCACTGCGAAACCTCTTCTAAGGATGCCTAACCTGAAGAAGTTACCCTCCTCCCTCCGGACAAACCTCAAGGGATCTCTCTCCCACTGCAACTCTCTCGTAATCGGATTCTCCAGCATCTGCAGTTCCTACTATCTCTGCCTATGAGGCACCTTGTCAAAGGCTTCACTGAAGTCCATGTAAGCAACATCATCGACTTCTCCTTCATCAAGAGAACACTGAAGAACAGCACTTCATTTTCCGCTTGGGAACTCTACTACCTTCTGGACTCAATATCTCGTTCAAAAATTTTAGGGCTTGAAGCACCTTTTCCCATGATCTTACCCCAACCCCCACACACCAGGTCTTGTTAGCCCATGGTCTGCTATTGCACACTACCCATTGTTAGCCACTAACAGTCCCCATTAACAGCTATTCGCCGTCCTAGCCAGATTGTTATCCACTCCTTTGTCTGGCCAAGTGTTCTTCTCTCTCTTTGGGCTCTATCTCCACCTATCATTTACTTCTTACCCTCTCCCCACCTGCCCTTCTTCGGCAGAAAAAACAAGATTTTCCTAGCTACCATCAGTTTTGAGGAAAGGTCACTGGACCTGAAACGTTAACTCTGATTTCGCTCCACAGATGCTGCCAGATCTGCTGAGTTCTTCCAGCAATTTCTGCTTATGTCAGTCTAGTCACATGCTGTAGTGCCAGGTATCTGTACAAACAAAGAACAATACAGCACAGGCCTTTGGCCCTCCAAGCCTGCGCCGCCACATTTTCACCTTCCATACTAAAGCTGTCTTCACTGACAGGATCAGTATCCCTCTATTCCCTTCCTACAATGTATTTGTCTAAGTGCTTCTTGAATTTTGCTATTGTGTCTGCTTCTGCCACCTCCTCTGGTAGCGTGTTCCATGCATGCACCACCCTTTGTGTGAAAAGTTGCCTCTCACATCTCTTTTAAACTCCCCCCCTCAATACCTTGAACCTGTGTCCCCTAATAATTGACCCCTCCACCCTGTGAAAAGGCCTCATAGTTTTC